CAGCGACCTCGGATGTGGGACAACCACTGGCAGTGGCGGAGCAAGAAAGTATGCTCCCACCTCGCAGTGTTCAACCGCGGCCACCGCCTGCATTGATGGAGGGGAGTCAGGGGACCGTTGTTGTGTGTCAAGGCGACGATCTCCCGGAACGTGATATCTCACACACTCCTGCAGCCGAGCAGAGCGCCACAGACCATGTCGGCCTCGCATGCCCCACCGGCAGTCTTCCGAGTACCGGCGAGTTACTGACCATGGACTCTGCGCTCGTTTCTCTACCGTACTTGTCGACATTGATATCCCCAGGTCTACCCCATGTGTCACCGCCCAAGCCACAACAGCCTGTTGTCATCGAGCGTGGATCGGACGGGTTTTACGTGGCAGGAGGCGATATCGCCGATATGATTACGAACCCAATGGTGTCTGCCACGCCCACAATTTTTCGTGTTGGCAAACTACGCGAGGTGGCCCTTGGTTTGGCGGAGACGGCGACGCGACACCGCCGCGCCGGTCAGCGCAGTATCTCACAACGTAGTCTTTCTCATTCGTTTGACGGCGCAGGGGAAGGGTCTCCTGGTGGGCCAGTTGACACACTCGAAAGAGAAGCAAGACCCCCAACTCCGCCGTCAAACTTAGAGCATCATCCGATTGCCGCAGCTGTCGGCGCAGATGCGGGCGTCCCCGTCACAAACAGTGGCGCAGACGCGACAGAACAGCTTGTGGTTGGGTCATCGGCGACAGCACGGCGCGACAGAGCCACTGTTTTGCCGACAGTGGCATTTTATGCCAGCGGGAAGAGTACTGGGGGGATGGATGAGCAGGGAGTCCGGAATGTTGGTAGGCCATCTGCACCGTCTATGGGGAAACGATCCATTGGGAGTGTGGATGGTGCTCGGCACACCGCCATGGCCGAGTTTGAGGACCGACACGGGAGTGCTTTGCCGACGAAGACGTCTGATGTCCATGCTACGAGAGCCGCAAAGGCTAGTCTTTCTCGGGCAAGGAAGAAGGCCTCGGCAAGGAAGGCGTCACGTTCATCCTCACATATGCGTTCCCGAGAGAGAGGATCGGGCGTTGTGTATCTCGAGGACGGAGAGATTGCACCTGACGGCGACGCATTGGATGTTGGAGGGAGGGATGCAACGACGGCGGATATCGTCGGCAGGGAGGGCACAGGGAATGCAGTGGCAGGTCAGAAGAGACGCGGCAGTGTACTTATCGTCCACGACGACAGCACAGATGTCGCCCCGGGAGAGACCACAGGCACTGATGATGCAGGGGACTCGGATTACGTACCCAAACCACGGGCGGCAGATGGAGATGATGGAGGAGGGCGACGAGTGAGACCGAGGACACGACTCGGGCMGCAAGGGCAGCGAGCACAGGGCACACCATCGGCGATGATTCCTGCCCCCATAGATCGGCGAGCTCAGGCGCAGCGGTTGCTGCGCAAAATGGAGGCCACTCTTCAACAGACGCACGGGTTATCGCTTGGCCGCGAAGAGACGAAGACTCAGAGACAAGGAGAGAGGGAGGGAGAGAGAGAGAGAGAGACATAGAGAGAGAGAGAGAGAGAAAGAGAGAGAGAGAGAGAGAGAGAGAGAGAGAGAGAGAGAGAGAGAGAGAGATTTA